TGAAATATATGAGTTTGTATGTAATGTATGAATATAATATACAAGTTTCACTTTTTAAATGGAATTACTGAAATAAATCTACTTTTTCATGATATTCTAATTTTATGACCAGCAACTGTATAAATTGTTTAACAAACAATATTATGTCATCTTAGCAAGATTTGATACAAGGTCAAGGGAAAACACAAAGATAAACACAAGTGATATCTAAGAATGACTGTTGTTATCAAATCTTCTTCTGACTTTAATCATTCTATCTGCAGATAAACAGCATGTCATGAAAACCTAGGTCATTAAAGGATGTCATGAATTACTGGCTTAAACATAAACGTATTAGCCCCAGGACAGACATTTTTTATTTTATGTAAGGTGTCATGCTAAAGGTAAGAACCAGAGGAAGTCGTCTGAAAGCCTGGTTTAAAAAAAACAGCTCCCGGTAGCATCTGGTAATTTCAGAAAACATTTAAATGGAAATGGTCTGAAATTATAGAGCGCTTTATCCAGCCCAGTCAGACCGGAAAGTACTTTATAGTTACAGTCATTCACCCAGTCACACACACATTCAAACTGATGGTAAACCTCATTGTAGCCACAGCTGCCCTGGGGCACACTGACAGAGGCAAGGCTGCCATGCACCAACACCACCGGACCCTCAGACCATCATCAGTAGGCAAGTTGGGTGGAGTGTCTTGCCCCAAGGACACAACGACTGAGACGGCTGAAATGGAGGATCAAACCATCAACCCTTCGGTTGCAGAACAACTCCCCTAACCACTCAGACACAGCCGCAGAAACCAAACTGTTTTTGCCCACCGGTGGAACAAAGACTGTTTGAAGGGTTAAGTTTACAACTGCCTTGGTTTTTTGGATCAACTTAAATTATTGTCCCCAACGACATACGTAATTTTTTTCAACTGAAAATTTTTTCATCCCAAATAAAAAAAGAAGTTGGATTTTTTTACAGTGTACTGTTACATTCCTTGCTGCTATGGATAAACCCAATCCTCTTTAGTTTCTGTACAGAAGTTGTGCTCCCTTGTTTTCCACATATTTAAAATAGATCCTTATTCTCACAGTACAAAGAGCAAAGTAAGAGAGGATACATTAGAACAGATCCAGCAGCAGGAGCCATGATGCTGAGTTTTCTCGGGCAAGGAGTGGACAGATGGTTGGATAGAAAGACACTATATAAGTACAGTCCATATTGCAGGTAGAAATGAGGCCGGTATCAGGACAGGCTTTTCACATATTTCAGAGGTACTTTTATTCACACTCCAAAATATTTTTTGTTATTATTTCTGCTTGGGTCCAAAAGAAAAATGGAACTCATATTATTTTATAATATCTTTAACTGAGACATGATTGTTTTAGTTCAAAAGCAAGAAACTGACATGAATTGAACTGACATGTAGTTTATATTTAGAAATTTGTTTATTTTTATTTGAAAACTAGATACTGCATAGCGGTAACATATTTCAGAGGTACTTTTATTCACACTCCAAAATATTTTTTGTTATTATTTCTGCTTGGGTCCAAAAGAAAAATGGAACTCATATTATTTTA